CTGGCTGGGGAATTCTGGGAGCTGAAGTCCACCCATCTTCAAGCTGCCAAGGTTGAGAACACTGATCTAAACTAAGCAGCTGCTGGCCTAAAAGGGCCAAGTGTATAATAACCTGAACATCTGCAGATTCAATCAAAAATCTTTTAGTGGATTTTTAAATTTGAAGAGACCGGACTCTAAAACAGAGCAAGCCCCCTTTTTACCTAGAACGGTGGCGTTGCACCTTTGCACAGCATCGTCTCTCTCACCTGCTGCAAAGGCGTTGCAAAATCCAGCGTTTCCGGGAAGGGTTGCGCTCAGCAGGTGAGCCCCGAACTCCGGGTCAACGGGCCCCAAACTTTAAAAGCTGATTTATGGCATAATTCTCCTAGCCTTCTCCAACCCCACGCCTTCACAATCCAGGCTGAAGTGGATGAGGCTGAGACATGATGGGGCTGCCCGCCCCTCCCAGGCGCCACCTGAAAGTGGGTTCAGCAGCAGGACTCAGCTCATCAAACAGGCCCAACCCTACCTCACAGGGTTGTTGTGAAGATAACTTGGAGGAAAGAGACACCCCAACCCTTCTTGGAGGAGGAGGAAAGGAAAACGGGCGCACGCATTTGCTCCAGGTTGCCATTAGTAACCAGAAACAACTGGGGGGTACCCGTTGGTGGCTGCTGTCTAGATGGTCATTTGGGACTCAGTTTGTTTCTGGTTACCAATGGCAACCTTCCTTCTTATTTGTAATTTCAAAAAAACACCCTTGGGGATCATGCAGCTGGACTCCCCGCCGACCTCTGCTTTCCAAATCTCTTATCCTTTTTGGCAATAAAAGGGTTGCCTGTTCTCATGGCTTTAGCACCAGGAGCAAAAGCCGCTCTTATTCTTCCACCTGTGTCTAGCTTGAAACGAACGTAAAATGCAAACGGGGTGTGTAAAATCCGCTTTATGCTGTTGCGTGGCAGGCGAGCTTAAAATGACCACGCGATCAAGTTTATTTTCCTTTCTTCTAAAACCAGAGTCAGCAAGCAGGTGTTTTGCTGTCTTGAAGGGGAAATCCGGTACAACAAGAGCAGAGCACAGAATGCCATGGAAAGGAAATAAAAAGAGAAATACCTTCCAGGTATTTCACAACTGAAATAATTTGAAACTTTAAAGGGGGAGTGTAAAACTATTATCTACAACAGGGTTTCTCAACCTCAGCAGCTTGAAGATGGGTAGACTTCAATTCCCAGAATTCCCCAGCCAGCATAGCTGCTGAGGTCCACCCATCTTCAAGCTGCTGAGGTTGAGAAACAACTGATCTAGGATCTAAAAGGACCTAGATCAGAAAGGATGTGAAATGTTCTAGCAAACACTGTGTACAGGAAATTGCTCTCCTGGACCGTAAGATGCTCTGATGGTGTAATCCAAAACAGCTACAGAGTTTTAAAGGCCTGCAAACAAATCTTTGCTACGTTCTCCTTCTCGTCTCCTTCCGCCCACCTGCAACATCTGGTTTTTCTTCCTCTTGGGAACACACAAACACTTTCCAAAGCGTTTGGTGACGCAGATCGGTGGGCCGCCACCGAGACACATCACTCAGCCCTTTGCCCACGCTCCCCAGCGTGCAAGAAAGTGGGGTGGCCAGCTCACCTTTTCCAGTTGGGTCTCCAACACCGATACGTCGGTTTCCACTGTCTCAACGGCAGCCCTAAGGGGGTTTTTTTTGGGGGGGGAAGAAAGGAAATAGATCAGCAGAGGTGGATAGGAAACCATTGCAAACGTATATGAGCATTAATGCCTTCAGTTCAAAGCCGAGTCACAGCCACAGACTCATGATATGATCTCGGGGGAAGGAGCCTTGCAACTTCCGTTCACATCTTGCAGAACCATGTTAGTGACGAGCACGTTTCGGGTGTGAGCAGCTTCCAAAATCCTTTCCGAGTAAACAGCCGCAGACACAGGCTCTTCGTCGAAATTAAAATGCAGCTTGCGGGTCACAGTCCCTCTGCCCCCCACTCTCAAACACCCAGCCTTCCCCAATCTGGAGTTGGGACTCCATGGCCCAGAATTCTCAGCAGGAGACTCCCAGGGTGCACCCAACATGCAAATAGGGTGCCAGGGTGGGAAAGGCTGTGTTAGAGCAGTGTTTCTCAACCTCAGCAACTTTAAGATGGGTGGACTTCAACTCCCAGAATTCCCCAGCCAGCCAGTTGCTGAGTTGAGAAACACTGTGTTAGAAGAACAAGAAGGAGGGTGCCCAAGTTCTGTTGCAGCTGGTGCTTGAATGACCCATCCAGTCAATGAGAAAGAGGGGGCTCAGCTGGCCCCAAAGCCTGGCACACTGGGGCAATGGCAGGGCCTTGAGGATATCCACCATTAAAGCAGAACTTCCAGCCACACCCTCCAGGCTGCAATTCCTAGCCAGAATTGCAATTTCCCAGACTGCCCTGCAGGGATGCTAGCTTGGAAGAGCATTCTGGGAAATGTAGAGCAACACCCACCCCCTTCTAAGGCAGCGCAGAGTGTTTATCCCATGGAGACTGAAGGGTGATGTGCCAAGGAGAGATCACAGCGTGGTCTTCATAGGGCAGTTTTTTCCAACGGCGCACCCTCCAGGCCTGTGGGATGTCCGTTCCCAGAATCCCTTGCAGCACATGTGGGTTAAGGCCTGCACACCTGAGGGGCACCACGTTGGGGAAAGGAGTTGCGGGAGCTTCAGGGCTGGGCAACCGTTTGCAAGCTGCGCTCTTGCACTCTCTCCACGGCCCCCCTCCGTCTGCTCTGTTGCGGTCATCTCACAACTTCCTGCCTCCGTCAGGGTTGTAAGCTATTTCCCGTCGGTTGCCCAGAGACCCTCCCCACCCGGAGCACACCTCACCTTGTGATGCCTGTAAAACCTTGAAAGCAGCTTTGGCAAAATTAGAAAAGGTGGCATTGAAGGATAGCCTACCCCCCCCCATGCCCACAAAGAAAACGCAATCCTAACGGGAACCAAAACCCTCAGGAAGAGCCTTCTCCAACTTGGCACCTTCTAGACGGGTTGGGTTTCCTTGCCCATCACCCTCAGCCAGCCAGGTTGCTGTGGACAATGGGACTTGTAGTTCAAAGCCTACAAAATGTTGGGAAGGCAGTCTTTGGGAGGAGGAGAAGGAGACACACACAAACAGAGGCTCCTTCTCGTGAAGGGGAACCTGGCACTTTTCAGCCCTGCAAGCTTCCACGTTGGCTGCCACCCTCCCACAATGCATGGGGACCACGGCTTAAGATAAAAACCAAGAAAGAGAAGTTAGTCACTTTGGGGGGAAATGAACAAAACCTGCAGGAAATGCTAAGAAAAACCCTGTAAAGAAGAAGCAAGCGAGAGAGCAGATTCACGCACAGCAGGGAGCACTGCACCCCAGAACAAGAGGGGAGCATCCCAGCCTGCTTCAGCAGGACACGGAAGCATGGAAAAAGTCTGCCAGAGGAACAACGTGGCAGCGGGTCTGGGGTGGAAATAAGTGACTCTCGGAAACAACTTCTCACATCCTCGTCAGGTTTTGGAACAGAATGGCCCAGCTTTCTTCAGCTTAGCTCTGATGGCTCACCCGGCCTCCCCAACCATCATCCCGTGCCAACACAGCCAACCCACCTGCTGGCAGGGGGTGATGGAGGCTGGAGCCCGCCTCAGCTGAGGGACGGGTCACTCAGGAGGGGAGGAGAGAGATTTTCCACCCTTGGCAAGACTGGCAGCCATGCCCAAACTCGAATTCCCTGGCCGTGATAGCCATGAAGCCATGGAACAGCCTGTCTCCATCCCGGAGAGCCATCAGGGAGGTCTGCGAGCCTCCTTCGCGCCCCACCATCTAGGATTCCAGGTCTTGAAAACTAGGATCTCGGTGGTCTCTTCCTTACCAGCCTCTTTCCGAGAGAGCTGCGGGCTTGTGACGCAGGCGCGGAAGGGGAAACACAGGCAGGGTGGATTCCACCATGAAAAGGAGGAGGGAAATCTTCTCTCCTAAGTGAGGCTCAGCTCCAAGCCTTGGGGACCCCCAAACAGCTCTGCCCGGTCAAGATGGCGGCTGAAGCTGTGGATGCTCCTGCCGGGGGTGGGGGCGGGGGGGAATGTGTCTCTGACAGGAAACCACAGGCTGAAGCTGTTCTGCAAGTGGTCACAAGAACTTGCTCATTTGCTACCACAGCCCTGGCTGGTTTTTCCAGCCTTCTCTGTGCCATAAATACCTTCTCACGTCGGTCCTCTTTCTCCTCCTTGGCCCTCTGTGAGGATACCACCATTGTTTGTACAACACGCCAGCCCATGGTTAGCTGGAACATGGTTTATGCCTTAAGCCCAACTACCTGGGTTCACGGAACAGGCCGTATCTCAAGCTCACCACACCAACTGAGTTTGCACAACAGGCTACATCATGATGGGCTTGGCTAGTTTGGTGGCTGAGGCTTCTGCAGGCCGGAAGAGGGCTGGGGCCCACGTAACGTGACACAGACACGGACATGTTTGACTGAGGTTGCATCTTAGGCCTCTCCCTTGCAGTTTGGGTACAAAACAACGCAGTCGGTTCGGTTCTGCCGGGACGCAAAGAAAAATGTTGCTTTTCTGTCTCATCAGAAGAGAGAAGCAGCGTGAGCTGAACTGAACAGGTCTGAAAGTTGCCACTTCGCCCTACAGCTTGCCCCTTCTGTCCGTCATAACAATTAAGGCCACCTTCGGCCCTGCCTACCCCAGTCTGCAGAGGCAAACCTGCGTTGAGATGTAAAGGATGGCGGGGG